TCGGTTATCGCTCCTCCATGATCGCTCCTCGCTCCTCGATCCTCGGTCCTCCGGCAGAAATAAGAGCCATGGGACGGTACTCAAGATGGCGCAGGCAAATCAACTTCCGGTGAGACCGAGGACCGAGGAGCGAGGAAATTAAAATAGTCGACCTGAGAAGCAGCCCTTGTCTTTTCCTCCCGCGTCCGGGCTTGCGGGACGGCCGGTGTTCCGGATTAACTGGTTCCCCGATCAACTGGTTGACAGATGTGGAGGCGTGGCCTTCGACTGAAATACACATTTCGATCGCTTCTTCTGTCGTTTACATACATCTTTTGGTATATTTGGCTGGATAGGAACACTTTGATGCACATTCAGTACCAGTGTGTGAGGTTGTGGTTACGATGGCGATATCCGGACGCGAACAGCGAGGACTACAAAAATAAAAACGAGTTGACATGGGGTTGTCTGTTCAAAACATTGCGAGCTCCAATAAATCATTTAAACCAGCTATTGTTGCCAGACTAATTACTGAATATCGTTCTTAATGTGATACCAAGTCCATCTGAGACCTGTGTACACCTTCAGACAGCCTCCAAGTGAAGCACACGTTGTTTACTCACAGTTTGAAAGCAGCGTGGAGAAGTCTTCTGCTGTGTTAAGTTGTGATCCGCTCGAATACATCCTTAAAACCAGCTATTGTTGCCCGACTTATCACTGAATATCGTTCCTAATGTGATACCAAGTCCATCTAGACCTGTGTACACCTTCAGACAGCCTCCCAGTGAAGCGTACGTTGTTTACTCAGAGTTTGAAAGCAGCGTGGAGAAGTTTCAGCTGTGAAAACTGTGATCCTCTCAGGTAAACTGTGATTCGCTCAGGGTCAACTGGGATCCACCCATGGGAAAATGGGATCCGCCCAGGTTAAACTGTGTTACGACTTCTGTGGCTATCTACCAGCGATCATGTTTAATATGAAAGACACACACATATACATCCCTTATAAAAACGGCATTCTGCAGCACTCATCCAGATAACACATCAAGAACGATATTCAGAAATAAGTCTGGCAACAATAGCTGGTTTAAATGATTTATTGGAGCTCGCAATGTTTTGAACAGACATCCCCATGTCAACTCGTTTTTCTTTTTGTAGTCCTCGCTGTTCGCGTCCGGATATCGCCATTGTAACCACAACCTCACACACTGGTACTGAATGTGCATCAAAGTGTTCCTATCCAGCCAAATATACCAAAAGATTTATGAAAACGACAGAAGAAGCGATCGAAATGTGTATTTCAGTCGAAGGCCACGCCTCCACATCTGTCAACCAGTTGATCGGGGAACCAGTTAATCCGGAACACCGGCTGACCCGCTACCCGACTGGGGAACGCCGCCTGTAGCTTAATCCGCGATACTGCGGAGCTGATGAATAAATGCCTGGAGCTGAAACGAAGCCCTCAGCTGGGACAAAGCCCTGCTGCTGCTTGGCTAACCATGAACACTGTGACGCGTACACTTGTGCGTTGACACCTGAAATGACAACTGACAGAGAGGGAAGAGCAGATTTAAAGGGTTTAGCAGGTGCAATGATTGCTAGCTGGGGAGTACCGCCCCTGATTACTTAATGGGAGAGGAGCTTGCAGTGACGTGTAACACCAGGGGTATGGTCTTCCTTTTGAACTTGCGCTAAGCTTCATATCTTTTCAAGACATCAAGCCATTGATAAAATACATGCTTACAGTTTATGACCCTGGAGTGGAAACAACATTTCTAACTAAGATGGTTCAAATATTAGAATAAAGAAATCAAGATGAACACAGTATTATTAATGCAACAGATCAATGGGGAAATGAATGATCCTGCAATATACCAGTAGATTGGGAACAAATTATTATTAATGTAACTTTTATTTATTTATAAAGCTTTGTTGGGTAAACTCCCGTATTACATCTGCTCTCTGATAACACAGAGAGTTGCAAGCAGCTATTGTCTGAGATGGCATGATGTAGTATTGTTAGATGTGCCAAGAGCAAGGACTGTCTTAGGTAAGACAGCTTTTATGTGCGCAGCTCCACTTGCTTGGAACAATCTTCAGCAAGAATTGAAACTGAGCAATCTCATTCCTCTGCAGGTCTTTAAAGCAAGGCTAAATGAAATGCTCGTTGATACTATGGGCACTTGTAAATGTCTATAACTATGTAAATGTATCCTGTAAATATAATGTATGATGTCCTTTATTGTTTTATGTTTCATGTGGAACCTATATGCTGCAGGTCTCCCTTGAAAAAGAGATCTATGATCTCAATGGGGACCAATCTGGTTAAATAAAGGTTGAAATGAAATGAACACAGTATTATTAATGTAATAAATCAATGGGGAAATGAATGATCCTGCAATATACCAGTAGATTGGGAACACATGTGCAGAAACATTCATAACACAACCAACTCAAACTACTGGAAAGAAAACACATGAAGCTTTTAATTCCACACTTTAAGAACACCCCAGATTCAAAGTGAATACAAAGAAAGCCTCACTTCCAAACGCTGGAGAGAACGCGCTGAGCAGAAACCAGACACATATATTCTGGGCCTGTAATGTGTTGGGAGACTTCGGGAAACAGTTTGAAGAGAAATGTCCGATATCTTGATCTCTCAACAAAAACCCATTCTCCCTATCACTGGGGGAACACCAGAGGAGATACAAAAAGATTCCTATCTATTTCTGGTCATTAGAAAAGAGATCATCAAACAAATGACAAGGAATTGTCTGAAAGATAATAACTTAGTAAACTCACGATGGAATAACTTAGTAAATGAAATCTATGTAACGGAGAAAATCAACTAGATTAGAAACCAATGCATATCTTTGAGGAAAGGTGGGAGGAATGGGTCAGTGTAGAACAATATAGTGAATATAATTAATGTATACCTGAGTATTCATAATGTATTCACAATGTATCCCATTCTTTTATTTGTAATACTATATGTTTGTTATGTCTTTTCTGATTGGTCATCTGTTATGTAGTTCATCTATGTACTGAGATGTGTTTATTTTGTTCTGAATGTTTTGTGAATATTTTCTTAAAAAGCAAAGAAAGTAATAATAACATGTTTCTGTGATAACTGTAAGTCCTGCTGTGTGGTGTGATCACATGCTGAGAAACCTCTCAAGTCCTTCATAGTGTTTGACATGTCGCCTCCTTCACTCAATATGAAGAGAGGAACACTTCAGTTGAACTAACATTATAAATAAATAGAAGAACAGTGTTGGTTTATTTTGCTCTCTCAGTATTTAAACAGCAAGAAATGTTAAAGTGTTTATTTGAATAATTAAACTCCTGATCCACATTAGTTTATAAAGTTAATCACATCTGGACTTACTTGGCCTTCCTGCAGTTCCTCACAGCTGGAAGCCAGTCCTCTGTTTTCCCTCCCATGATGTTTTGTACTGACTCAGGTCCAACTCATCCAGAACCTCCTCTGACATCTGCAGCATGTAGGCCAGAGCAGAGCAGTGGATCTCAGAGAGTCTCTTCTCTGATCTGTTCTCTGACTTCAGGAACTCTGTGATCTCCTGATGTACTGAGAGGTCCTTCATCTCTGTCAGACAGTTGAAGATGTTGATGCTCCTGTCAGGAGAGGATCCACTGCTCATCTCCTTCAGGTTGCTGATGGCTCTCTGGATGGTTTCTGGTCTGTTGTCTGTGCGACCCAACAGGCCTCCTAACAGACTCTGGTTGGACTCCAGAGAGAGGCCGTGGAGAAAGCGGACAAACAGGTCCAGGTGGCCATTTTTACTTCTGAGAGATTTCTCCACGGCTCCCTTCAGGAAGACAGGCAGGGATGGGTAATCCTGATCACTGATGTTATAGTCTCTCCTCAGGAAGTCCTTCAGTACCGCTGTGTCTCTGTTGGTGTGACAGTGCAACATGTAGACTGCAGCCAGAAACTCCTGAACGCTCAGATGAACGAAGCAGTAGACTGTTTTCTGGAAGATCACACTCTCTCTTTTGAAGATCTGTGTACAAACTCCTGAGTGCACCAAGGCCTCGTTGACCTCAGACCACAGCGCTGCAGGTCTTCTTGGTAGAAACATGATGTCTCCTTTCTCCAGATGTTCAAACGCCAGCCTCCCCAGCTTCAGAAGAAGCTCCCTGTCAGCCTCCGTCAGCTGCTGTGGACTCGTCTCATGTCCCTCTTCATACTTCTTGCTTCTTCCTCTTGGTCTGGACCAGCAGGAAGTGTGAGTACATGTCAGTGAGGGTCTGGGGCAGCTCTCCTCTCTGGTCTGTAGTCAACATGTGGTCCAGAACTGCAGCAGTGATCCAGCAGAAAGACTGGGATCAGACACATGATGTGGAGGCTCCTGGAGCTCTTGATGTGAGAGATGATTCTGCTGGACAGGTCTTCATCACTCGCTCTCCTCCTGAAGTACTCCTCCTTCTGGGCGTCAGTGAAGCCTCGTACTTCTGTCACCCTGTCCACACACTCAGGAGGGATCTGATTGGCCGCTGCAGGTCTGGAAGTTATCCAGACGAGAGCCGAGGGAAGCAGCTTCCCCCTGATGAGGTTTGTCAGCAGCACGTTGACTGAGGACTGCTGAGAGACATCAGACACAACCTCATTGTTCTGAAGTCCAGAGAAAGTCTGCTTTCATCCAGGCCGTCAAAGATGAGCAGCACTTTGCAGACAGCCAGCTGCTCTGCTGTGACCTCCTGTAAGGTTGGATGGAAAACATGGAGCAGCCTGAGAAGACTGTACTGCTCTCCTTTGACCAGGTTCAGCTCCCTGAAGGAGAGCGGGATCACCAGACTGACATCTTGGTTTCCCAAACCCTCAGCCCAGTCCAGAGTGAACTTCTGCACTGAGAAGGTTTTTTCCAACTCCAGCGACTCCGTTGGTCAGGACCGCTCTGATGGGAGTCTGTTGGTCAGGTAAGGCTTTGAAGATGTCCTGGCACTTGATTGGAGTGTCATGGAGGGGCTTCTTCTTGGAAGCTGTCTCCAGCTGCCTCACCTCATGTTGGGGTATTAACCTCTTCACTCTGGCCTTGTGTGATGTAGAGCTCAGTGAAGATGCTGCTGAGGAGGGTTTCACTTTGATCAATTCCTTCAGTCACACGTTCACATCTCCTCCTCAGACTGAGCCTATGTTCATCTAGAACCTCCTGCAGACCACGTTCTGCTGGACGAGAAGGGAACGTGAGAGAATGAGGGAAATGCTCTGAGAATCTAATTATAACAATAAAACAACAAACAACAGACTGAGTTTAAATGTTGTATAAACAGCTTACTGTCTCTGCTCTACAACAGTATACCTATTCAGAAACAAAGGAACCAGGAAGAGGAATAAAACGCTGCGTGTGTTCGGCCTCTTACCTCGTACAGTTCTGGTCTGGCTGGCTGTCTGCAGTCCAGCTCTGGTTCTGGATCTTTCTCCACACTGGGGACAGGAGGGGTCTCCTGATGGAGGTCTCTGCTCCCAGTATGAGGTGATGCACTGTCTGCAGAACCAGTGTCCACAGCTGGTAGAGACTGGATCCTTCAGGACGTCCTGACACAGAGCACAGCTGGACAGCTGCTCCTCCACAGGAACACCACTCTGCCTCTTCCCTCTGTGGAGATGAACACATCCTTTACAGCACGTTACTTTAGTGGAGCTGATTCTCACCAATGGGCAGAGCGTCACCAACGTCCCTCTCAAGACTCTTCTCCTCCAGGAGGACTCAGGTGAGGGTGCTGCACTTTTCCTTGTTCATGTGATGTTTTGGTGTTGTTGTTGTTGTTGTTGTTGTTTTGTTTCTTTCTGTTAACTGTCAAGTGGGAACTAAGTATTTTTGTTAGTATGTGTTTGTGTTTCTCTTATTATCCTACGATGCTGTGATGTGTGGCTGTGAATAAGAACATATGAAGGACAGACCATCTATTTATGTTTTTAGAGAACAGTTGAATATATTAGATTATATAAGAACTGGATCCTCTTCAGGTCAGGTTACAGCAGAAACTCTTACTTTGTGTCTGAGGGTCCAGGTTCATTACTGAAGTTTAGAGGCTCCCACATAGACCGGTCACTCTTCAGAGACAGACAGCTGGGGACTGGAGACTCTGCTCTCTGTCTGTGGAAACAACACATGTTTTAAACATCATTAGTTCATTCAGAGAGCACATTTTGACTTCTGTCTGTATGTAGATTAATTACTATCGCTGATGACGCCAGGGATCAAGAGTTTAAGCTTTGTTACTGTACTGTTACTAAGTTTCTTTACTGCGATCATTAAAGAACAGGTTCGACTAGAAAAGGCATTTCCCGCTGAAAATGCAGAGAAAGCTGAGTATTTGAAAAGCTGAATGGTGACTGCAGCTGAATAAACAAGTGGCTTTTAGTAATAATGTTTTAAAAGATGTGCAATAGTTTAAGTAGTTGATCAATCTCCACTAAGTACGTGTTATCCTGCAATAACTAGCTGATACATTGTAGTTAGGGAAACTTCCTCTTTTTGGACACAAATAACGTGGGACGCTTCGTGCCATTGGACAAACTTCCGCACAATGGAAATGTGATGTCCACTTAAAGAGAGAGTGTCATTAACTGTTACCCAGAGAACAGTCTGCAGCACCTCACTTTCTAACCCACGATTTTAAACCGGTTAAAAAGCACCAAGTGATTTAAGTGCAGTTCCTATGTTTCCCCACAGGAGGGCTCATCACCCGACATGGGCACAGTGCATTAACAGTAGAAAATACAATAAAAAAAGGCAAATCAGTTAATTTAAAGTGCAGGGAGGCTCCACACCAGACACAGGAACATTCCTCAATCCCAACAATAGTGACACTGATGATTTAAAGCCGTTTCTGGGGAAAAAGAGTGCTAAAAGTCTGATCAAAGTCTGATAAAAGTCAGATTGTTTCAGAGACCCATAGTAATGATACAATAAACCATTTACATCTAAAAGTATTGATTAAAATTCATTTTTAGAGGAAGCCTGAAAATGCCTCTCCAGGGCCCGGAGAGCTCCCAGGTGCTGAAGAGGGGGAGACGGGCTCCTGGGACCTCCAGCATAGGAGCCCCTCTCTGACCCATAAGAAGCGCCTATCCCTCCATACTCTTTGCTTACGGCCATACCACCCTGATCCGCTCGAGGCACAGAGTGTGAGTGTGAGGTAAACAGCGTGCTGAACTGTTTTGATTTGGAAGCTCCAGTTTATTGTGGGAAGAAGGGAAGAAATGGTGTCTGATGATGGGGAGGGGCAGACTGAGGAGGAGGAGTCTGATGATGGGGAGGGGCAGACTGAGGAGGAGGAGTCTGATGATGGGGAGGGGCAGACGGATGAGAGAGTCTGATGATGGGGAGGGGCAGACGGAGGAGGAGTCTGATGATGGGAGGGACAGGACTGAGGAGGAGGAGTCTGATGATGGGGAGGGGCAGACGGAGGAGGAGGGAGTCTGATGATGGGGAGGAGGAGTCTGATGATGGGGAGGGGCAGACTGAGGAGGAGGAGTCTGATGATGGGGAGGGGCAGACGGAGGAGGAGGAGTCTGATAATGGGGAGGAGGGAGTCTGATGATGGGGAGGGACAGACTGAGGAGGAGGAGTCTGATGATGGGGAGGGGCAGACGGAGGAGGAGGAGTCTGATGATGGGGAGGAGGAGTCTGATGATGGGGAGGGGCAGACGGAGGAGGAGTCTGATGATGGGGAGGGACAGACGGAGGAGGAGTCTGATGATGGGGAGGGCAGATGGAGGAGGAGTCTGATGATGGGGAGGGACAGACGGAGGAGGAGTCTGATGATGGGGAGGGGCAGACGGAGGAGGAGTCTGATGATGGGGAGGGGCAGACGGAGGAGGAGTCTGATGATGGGGAGGGGGAGACGGAGGAGGAGTCTGATGATGGGGAGGGGCAGACGGAGGAGGAGGAGTCTGATGATGGAGAGGGGCAGACGGAGGAGGAGGAGGAGGAGTCTGATGATGGGGAGGGCAGACGGAGGAGGAGGAGGAGTCTGATGATGGGAGCTGGAAGATGGGAGGTTGAGCTGTGCGGGAGAGGATGAAGATGATGGGAAGATGGAGATGGAGATGGAGAAGCAGCCGAGCGAGGAGGAGAGCGGGGTCGTGGCTGTGGAGGAGGCTTCATCAGCGTCGGATGGGGAGATAGTCCAGGTGCTGGTGGGAGAGCAGGATCTGGACGATGGCTGGGTCTTCGATAATAAGAACCAGACGCAGAAGAACCGGAGCTGCAACAGAAAGTCTGCAGACGATAAAGTGGATATGAAGGAGAGAGAGGACGGATGGGAGAGGAGGCTCTGAGAGGTGCAGGGGTCCCTGGGAGTTCCTGTGTGACGGCGAGGGGACGAGCCAGAGGAAGAGAGACGATGGGGAGGAAAACGCAAGATGCAAGGGGGCAGGTCCAGACACGGGGTAAGGAATGGAGAATTTAATGTTTCTAGGGGTGTAACGGTATTTGTATTCGTCCATGTTCGGCACATGCAATCACACGACAAATACGCCTTTTTTTTACGAGTGGGAAAAAAGTCTGTCATTCAGGGCAGTATCCACTACACTTTATATAATCCAGGGGGCGGTATTGCGCCTAAAAGCTGTTTGCCAGCCGCCCTTAAACAACAAATGAAGAAGAAGAAAACACAACAAAACGAACAAAATACAAGAAGAAGAAAAGTTAGTATGGCGAGTTCAGATAACACACAGGAGCTAGAACCCACCTGCTTCTTTTAAATCAGCTGTGTGGGAACATTTCGGGTTCCCTGTGGACTAAATAACGATGAAGTGTGCGAGTGGACGAGGACGGTGTGTCGGCGTTGTTCGATAGCAGTGCGGTATGCTAATGGTAACATACGCCAAACATGCTAAATCATATCAGAAGGCATCACCCAGATGTTCCAATCACCGGAGCTGGCAAAAGACAACAGCAGTTCAACAGCTGATCCCCGCTGTTTTTAAGAAGCCAATAGACATGAAAGCCGAGAGACCAAAATAAATAACGGAAGCTTTTGGCATATGTTTTTCAACGGCTATGCTGCGCCCTTATGCAATAGTGGAGGACCCCGGCTTTTATTGATTGCGATTGAAACACTTTCTTATTATTTATTTTGTAATATTTTCAAGACATTCTTTTTAGTTTTACAGCTTATTGAACCTTTTTTGTTTGACATCAGCCATTATAGATAATATGGCCATATGAGTGTGTGTGGTACTGTTTGTTTTTAACTGTGTAATAAAGTTAATTATTCAAAATGTTCCTTAAAAAAAAGGTTCCTTATTTTGTAAACTGAAACTTGCACTACTGTTCAAAATAAATAACAACAAACCTGGAATTATGCATTTGGGACTTTGTTTTGCTTTTTCTTGTTGTACCGAACCCGTACCGAACCGTGACCCCCAAACCGAGGTACATACCAAACCGTGAATGCTGTGAACCGTTACACCCCTAAATGTTTCTCTCCCTCTTCGTAATCAACATGGTGTCTTTGGCTTCATTTAATGGATATGGGCTTAAGAAGAAGGACAGGAGGGAGCAAGCTGTTATTTTGTGTGCCACGGACATGATCTGTTTTCAGGAGACACATTGGGATGAAAGGTGTGTAGAGGATGTTAAGAAGGGGTGGATGGGTGATGTGTTTGTGAACGGGGGTGTGAATGCTAGGGGGGGGGGGGCGATTTGAGTTAAAACAGGTGGTAGAGAATGTGAGGAAAGATGAGGATGATGGTGATGGTGAAATGATTGGTGTGGTGTTTGAGTATATGGGGGAAGTGTTTAAACTAATCAATGTAAATGCGCCGAATGAGGAAAAGGGGAGGGGGATGTTTTTTGAGGGTTTGGGAAGTGTGGGGAAACTGTATGGTTGTTGGTGATTTCAATGTGTGGTGTGGAGAATATATGTGTTTTCAAAGTGATTCTTCACGGGGTATGTTACAAAGGTAATGAGGGATAACGGTATGAAGGATGTATGGAGGGGGGGAAAGGTGTATGGGCGGGTGTTTTCTATGAAGCAGGTGGTTGGGGGGGGGGGGGGGGGGGGGGGGGGGGGGGGGTTTAAACAGAGTAGGATTGATCTATTGTTGTGTAATGGGGATATGGGTGGAACAACTGGTCAAATTGAATACATAAGGAATGGTTTGAGTGATCATTCTATACTTTATTTTGGGTTCAGTAATGAACGTGGGGGGAAAGGTGGGGTTTCAATGCAATGTTGTTAAAGGAAGAGAAATATAGAGAAAAAGTTAATGAGTGTTCAGTAAAAAAAAGAAGTATGAATGTTGATGTGGCGGTTTGGTGGGAGGGTTTAAAAAAAGAGATTAAGAATATGAGCATTAAATATAGTAGTGTGAGAAGAGAGAGAGAGAGAGAGAGATATTTCCATCATCCATGAAAACACCCCAGTAAATCCACCTCTTTCTATCCGCTCCAAGACCCTCAAAGGGCGGCCTCATGAGTACCAGCATGACCCCCACCTCCATAACCCGGCGCACCAGGCGAACCTGTGTACCCACACTTAAGCACACCTCTCGGACTAAACCAAAGGGACACCCCGGTCAGAAGTTCGTGCCCCTGGTAAACCTAAAAGGGGGTGGATTTTGTGTTTCTTTGATGTCCGCCCCTCAGCATCCAGGCCGGGCCGGCAGAGGCCCTCCGATGGCGGGTCGCGTTTGCCATTCGATCAGTGAGAGGAGAGGAGAAGGACGCAGCAAAAAATGAAATAGGGGGGAAAAAGAAAAAAAGTATCCGAAAATAGGCACTCATGAGGCGGGTAAAGTCCCCTGTCGACTCCCGTTACATTCCTCCGGCACATTTGCCTAAGTCAACTTTTATGAGAACCAGGCTGGGGGGTCTTTGTGGCACAAAATAAGGCCCACCCAAAGTGCTTGGTGAGCGGACACATCACCTCCGTATTTTCAGACAGCCCTCAAAAACCGGGTTTCTCATTTTGTGAAATGGATGAATACAATTTTTCAGAGAAGGGGAACTGAAGCCCACTGGAAAAAGGGGCCGAAGCGGGAAACGTCTGGTCGCTTCTCCGGTGGGCACTAATGGCACGTTTCCACTGCAGGCCTCACTCGGTTTGGTAAGGCCTTATTAGGCCCGGCTCACTTTAATGCTGCGCATTACAGTTTAGGAACTGGGGCAGTTACTATAGTAACACAGTGTAGGCGGAGCCGTGACGTCATCTTCAATGAGAGCCCCAGAAAAACAACACAGCCGTTAGCTCTTAGCCCTCAGAGCTCACAGCTCTTCATATCTGTTCAGAAACTAGACAAAAGTTAAACAAGTACAAACCACAGACTGCCTGTGTCATGGCGAATACAGTCGCTGGTTTATTTATGTCTGTATAGGCCGTTGTTGTGAGTGTGGACGGTCGGAGCATATATAACGTTAGCTTAGCCAAGCTACATTTAGTAAACACGCATTTTAAAAGGGTTTTTCGCCTGCCGTCTGTCTGCAGACTTGTCAAAGCATTAATTCATGGTTTTTACTAACCGGTATCAGTATGTTGTTACTTCGGCATCATTTTGAAACGTGTATTACAATTAAATCACGGTCAAATATGTTCATCTTGTTGTAGTTGTAGCCCCCTTGCCAGCGATTCTCTCTCTAGTTTAGCATACTCAGCCCGACTCAGCCTGGTTGTTCCTGGCCCTAGAACCACGATTTAGTCGGGCCAGAAAAAAGGTGAAAAAGTAGCCCCCAAAACTAGGCCAAGTGGAAACGCAACCAAAAACGGGCCCCGCACGGCTCGGCACGCTTAAAGCAAGCTACCCGCTGCAGTGGAAACGCGCCATTAGTCATTTTCTCCAACATTTTTTTATTTCTTTTTTTATTATTTAAAAATATAGTTAACCATTTTTTTCACTTTTTTCTTCTTTCCACGGATGGGTGAGCCTGGCAGGCCGTCTGTGAGCACACATATCTGGCCTGGAACCTCCAGAATGTTTGAGCTAAGCTCCATAAACTGACAAAATCACCCAGACATTTCACTTTTATAGGTCAAAAATATATAATACAAATACATTTAAATAGTATAAGGTGCAAATGTGCTCCGGATTACCCGGGGATGGATTTATATAGCTCCATGATAGTAATTAAAAATCATTTTCATGGAAAAAAGTGTTAACAACGCCTGATAACGCCTAAAATAAATCACTTGAATGTAAATATAATGATTATAAATCATTTGTAGTGAGAAGCAAGCTGCAGCACCTGACTTTCTAAACCAAGAAAATTGCTTTAAACCTGGGGGAAAGCCTTCTAAATGTCGGGGGAACTGTTTTAAATAGGGACAGAGAGTACCCAGAGAACAGGCTGCAGCACCTGACTTTCTAAGGGAGTAAAGGTGCAGCAAACCTGGGGAAAAGTGTTCTAAATGTCGGGGAAACTGTTTTAAATAGGAGGAGAGTGTCATTAACTGTTACCCAGAGAACAGTCTGCAGCACCTCACTTTCTAGCCCAGGAAAAGTGTTCATGCAGCCCCTTAATAACGGTAATAATGATTAGAAAATCATTTCAGGGCAGAAAGGGTGGAGATATACCTTAATGCAGTGTGTTTGTACATCAAGTGGACTGTCAACTGGAAAAAGCCCTAACGGTGAGGAAGGTATAAAGATATTAACATGATGACTGTTGGAATGGAACCGGCCACCTTATAGTTGAGAGACCCATGCAGTCACACAGAGCCACAGTCACACCTGGTGATAGGTAGTGTGGCTGGCTGTTTTGAAGGGTACATGAACAGTGGGGGCTTGAATGTGTAGTAAGAAAAGAAAATAAAGTAAAAACGCTGGGAAAAGCAGCAAAATATTTTAACTGCATGTTTTTGAACTGCAACCATATGTCCCCAATAATCTGGAAGATATGTGGAACATGTTAAAGTGTGTATGAGGTTTCCTTCAGATAGTATAGAATAGGCTGAGCCAGTGTGTTAAACTCCAGTCTGTGTGTCTGTGTCTGAGCTGAGCTCCTAATCAGAACACCTGTCTGAGTCCAGAGATCAAAGGTTTCCATGGAGATGTGATCAGTGATCAGTGAAAGGAGAGGGTTTCATGTGAAAGGTTTTTGTCACATCCTTGCCCTCAACAGATATGTTTTAAAAGTTCTATACTTAAATGTTTTTATTTTTCAACCTAAGAGATGTTTTCCTACATGTTCATCAACAAATGATGTCACAGGAGGGTAGGGTTTGGGACTTATGGCAGGTTTAACATTTCTTTTTAGGCGGATTTCAAGCTCTCCTCCACTCTGTTTTGAGATCAAAGCTCTCTAGACTTAACGAGCGGCGCACACTAAGGTTAAAATCTGAAGAAGGCCTCTTTACCAAGCTCCAAGCTAAGTTTAATATTTCAAAAAGTGTAAAAGATATCAAAAAGCTGAATACAAGTTTAATAGCTGAATGCCTTGTGACCGTTTTAAAGTAGGAATGAAGTCTCTAGCTGAAAGTATGTGGAAGGAGAAGCATTTTGCACACGGTGTAGCTAAAAGAGGATTTGAAGGATCCTCCCATTGAGTTACATTGTAAAAAAAAAGTTTAAAAAGCTGAATATTATAAAAAGTATAAATGTTCAAAACAAGAACAGTCATAGCAGTTATGACCTGAAAGAGCTGATCATTTTAATATTTGAATGGTTTCTGTAGCTGAAAGTATGCTGAAGAAGTTAAACTGCAAACATTGGTTGAAATAAATTGAAGAATAAAGATTTGAAGAACAATAGTCTGTTGCTCAGCATTCACACTAATTATCAGATAACATAAAAACTGGATCCTCTTCAGGTCAGGTTACAGCAGAAACTCTTACTTTGTGTCTGAGGGTCCAGGTTCATTACTGAAGTTTAGAGGCTCCCACATAGACCGGTCACTCTTCAGAGACAGACAGCTGGGGACTGGAGACTCTGCTCTCTGTCTGTGGAAACAACACATGTTTTAAACATCATTAGTTCATTCAGAGAGCACATTTTGACTTCTGTCTGTATGTAGATTATTTACTATCGCTGATGACGCCAGGGATCAAGAGTTTAAACTTTGTTACTGTACTGTTACTAAGTTTCTTTACTGCGATCATTAAATAACAGGTTAGATTATCAGATAACATAAAAACTGGATCCTCTTCAGGTCAGGTTACAGCAGAAACTCTTACTTTGTGTCTGAGGGTCCAGGTTCATTACTGAAGTATGGAGGATTCAACTCTTTAGACCAGTCACTCTTCAGAGACAGACAGCTGGAGACTGAAGATGTGTCCTCTTCCTCCTCTTTTAAACAACTCATCTTCTCCAGTCTGAGAGATAAACCACTAAAACTGGAGACACAGACACACACACACACACACACACACACACACACACACACACTATAATAACACACTTGTTTCAATCATAACCATCATAATAATACACTTGTGTTATGATATTAGGGTCATGCAGAGTCAGACAGCTATCCCTTTAAGAGAGAGAGAGAGAGAGAGAGAGAGAGAGAGAGAGAGAGAGAGAGAGAGAGAGAGAGAGAGAGAGAGAGAGAGAGAGAGAGAGAGAGAGAGAATGCAGCTGACTCATATACTCATAGATACACCTAGATGAGTCATTTAAAACCTTTCATTACAGTACAGAGAAAAGCTGTGAGAGAGGGGGGGGCGCTTGCATGTGTGTGCGCATGGTAGAGCGAGGGAGAGAGAGCGAGCAGTGGTGTGTGTTTTTGAAGTGAACGAAACAGCAGCAAAGGTCTGTCGAGTGTCTTCAAAGTTAGATCTGTAACAAAGACCTTAATAAATGCAACGGCCTCCCAAAGAAGAGCTCGCCTGTGTGCCTTATTGAAAAGTGGGTTATTGAACCCGAAGTGTGTTGCTTCGGCCCTGGAAGACTGCAGAGAGTCACCCCTGCTTCCTCCACTACGTTCTGGGAGCCGACAGGAAAGTGTAACACTTGGTTCAAACATCAAATCAGTCAGACTTCCGACAGGCCGCTCCCCATTTTGACTGCGCTGGGCTGTCGCATGTTATGTTGCTTTGATGAGTCAGAAAACAGGAAATGAAACCAGTTCACACCACTTGTAGAAGTCTCTTTGGACTCTAGGACGCTGATGTTCTGACATCCAGTAAAACAGAGTAAATAATGTGTTAGAAAGCAGATCCTGGTGTTAACACTCACCCTGTTCTCCTCCTGCTCCGTCCAGGTGTAAAATGGCGTCTGGCAGTCTGACTTCATATTTGGACTTGAACACCCTCACCTGTCTGCAGCTCCTCCTCTTGATTCATAACCATCCTTACCAGCTGAACCAGTTCACAGTCATACAGGGACTATGTTCAGTGTGATATAAATAGAGCTAAAAACAAGCTCAGCAAAGTTATTGAAATAAACATTAAAACCACAGTGTGAAAATCCCCCAGTAAACATCCTGCATTCAAAACCTCAGTTAAAGGTCCCCTATTATACTGTTTTTCATCAATATATTATAGGTCCAGATATACACAGAACATGTCTCTGGAGTGTTTGGGTGTGTATGGGAGATTGACTGACTGATTGATTGAAAAGTTTATTAACAGCTTGTATATTGGGTACAGTACAGTACAGCTCAAAACATACAATTGTTAAGGGGATGCAGACCAGAGAAAGACTTTCGTCTTGTTTACATCAGGGTCCCCCATTTCCAATTCGTCATGTAAGACATATAAGACATATTTGACATACAGATGGCTTATTTACAATTTACATACAGGTGGTTTTTTACATACAGATTGCTTGTTTACAATTTTCATTTTAGATTTCGTTCTAATACATCCTAACCGGACATTTAAGACATACCAAGTCTACAGATATACAGTTAGTAACAGAGTCTAAAATGCGAGTATATACATAGATGGGGGGGGGGAAGCTGTCCATTGAACGACAGGTTGAGATTTGTACCATTACCGGGGCCAGTTTTGCAATGCTCTCCCCCGAAGGTGCTCTTTAAGAGAGGTTTTGAAGGTAAGTATAGTTTTACTTTCCTTTACAGTTGTGGGAAGAGCGTTCCACCTTGATGTGGCATAATTGCGAAACGTGTATTCCCCCTTTTTTGTGCCAAATCTGGGTTTCACATGATTTGTGGAGCTCCCTCTGGTGTTATGATCATGGTATTCCTTGACCTTTGGGAAGAATTTTGACATGAGAGTTAAGGCTTGGAGTGACATCAGCGGGCGGAGCGGCAGAGGGAGTCCCAGTGCCGTCCCTGGCCAACTTGAGGCCCCATGCAAAGTTATATGATGAGGCCCTCTGTTTCGCAAGCGTCGACGGGGGGGGGGGGAGAAAACGTGCCGCGCCACACTACTTCAACACACTCAACTTCAACACTAATTGCGCTGCACAGGCGCATAGGTACAAGATGAGGCCCCCTCCGCCAGGTGAGGCCCCACACCGTCTGCGTGATCGGCCTGTAGGGAGGGACGACCCTGAGTCCGCTGTTAGAGCCATGAAGACGGATTAAAAGAACGAGCAAACCAGCCTCTCGTGTTCTTGTTTATTTTCTTATTATCAGATATCTCTGCACCCCATCCTCCTGTCAGCTGCCCCGCGCTCAGGCTGGATCAACGTGATGACGTATCAGTGGCGGAATGTCACTCAGTATTTTTACTCAAATACCTGAGTACATTATGAGGTAAGTGTACTTTTGTTTGTTGGTATTTATACTCCACTAAATCCATTTCCAATACAACAATAAACTAAAGTAATACAATCTAAAAGTCTATTTGATATTTCTGATTCAGTTTTCTGCTTTGGTGTAATGTTGTGGATTGTATCTATAGTTTGTTGACTCCTTGTATCAGTGAAAGTGCATCGATGTGGTTTCCTTTCGTATCGCGCCTGACGTCATCACGTAACGTCTTTTCCCGATTCTTCCACCTTTAGCTGATCCGCCATGTTTGCTTGTTCAGGTGTTTTTCACAACAGCTAAGTGAAATGAATACAGGTTATATTTGGCATATACAGAATAATGTTCAATATCAGGGATAAAATGGTCCAGCTGGATTGTTTAAATGTTGTTGGTCTTAAGCATTAAGTAATGAAAGCTTTAGCGCAAGTTCAATAAGGAAGACCTAACACTAGTCACTTACACGTCACTCTATGGCTCCCTTCCCCCCTCATTAAATACGAGGGCGTCACCCCTCAGCAGCCAATCGCTGCACATGCTAAATTCCTTAAATGCCTGCTCTTCCTCCCTGTCAGTTGTCATTGCAGATGATCACACGCAACCCGCCTCCACCCCTCTCGCCTCCCGTCTCCTTCAGGACAAAGCTCAACCTTCCTCCTTCAGACCGGTCTCACCTACTCATCACCACCACCAGTGTCTAGACCCCGGGGATTTCATCGGAGCGGTTCTTTCCCTCCTGAATGATTATCCTGCAAACCGGGGCCTAATCGCCAAACACCATTACATTCTCCTGTTGTATTATCGTGGCAATCATTTCATTCATATGACGTGTAAACAATAAATATGTAATTCTTACATCACGTCTCTCCGGTTTGAAATATCTTCATGATGTTTGATTGATATTGGGAATACTGTTTTGCAGTGGCGGCCGGCCCACAGGGGCGTTAGGGGCGCCCCCCCCCCCTCTTCCCACATGTTTGATTGTCATTAAAAAATAAAATTTAAAATTTAAAATATATTTAAATAATAAAATGTTGTTTAAAATTGTGTTACGATGTCTAAAGTTACTGATAAGTCACATGTTTCCTGCCTGGCCGCATTACCCTCTCTCGTCTGGGCGCTAAGAAAGGAGCCCTCAGCCAGAGCGGCAGCAGCCAACACATTGCTGACTGTTGCTATTTGTAAACTATGCCGCCGAAACATAATTTCAGCCAATCAGCGTCGTCAGATCTGATGGTCATAGGGTGCCAATGTCAGCGCCCGATGCAGTCTGAGAGGATAAAATGGTCCAGCTGGATTGTTTAAATGTTGTTGTGTAAGTCTTAAGCATTAAATAATAACTTCATGATGTTTGATTGATATTGGGAATACTGTTTTGGCTTTATATTCAAACCACTGGTGTTTATCTGCCCAGTGATAATGTAGCTGTTAGCATTGCTATAGTGCCCTGCTGCTCTTCCAGTTAGCATGTTGCTATCAAGTCTAGTTGGTTTCATTATGAATTAAGTATTAAAATAAGCTCCACATGTAATACTCCTTTCCGTCACAAGAGGGGGCACAGTGCAAGGGGAAATGCCACGGGGTGAGATTCAAGGTTCAAGGCTTCTATTGTCATTTGAACATAGCTAGAGTGTAGATATATCAATGAGAATCTGAGGTCTCAGGTATGGAGTCAGATTTGGGTCAATATTCTAGCGCGTAAAACAAGCTACTCACGAGCGGAAAATGTGCTTTTACACGCGCATAAAATGACTCTGCGCTCGCTCGCGAGAGAGACAGCCCTCTTGCTCGCTCGCGGGAGTATCAGCCTCGCGGAGTCTGTCTACGCGCGCGTGAAAAGTTTCTGGCACTTTGGGGCGGAGCCACTGGACTTTGATTGACAGCTGCCAGGAAACCCGGAGTTGCCAGGTTTGATAAATGCCTGAAGTACCAAGAGCCGAGGAGTGACGGCAGCAAAATCAGTTGGACGAGATTGAATGGTAAAGTTGTCCATAAAAAACTATTATATTCGTACAGTGTACAGCTAATATATATAAATTAATTTTATATAAAACAATATATTTTTGAGTGGGCTGTATCTGTCGAAAATTGCATATATATATATATATAAATATAATTGGTTGTAAAAATTGTTTTTTTATACAAAAGGACATTCTTTATAACCAATTAGTTTATTATCACGCATTTGTAATATTTGTATGCTAGAACTGTTGTATTCTTTTTGAAAAATGAAAAATAAATAGCTCACTTGTCATTCATTTTTATCCTTAATTATCCATCCAACACTGAAAAGGTGGTCCTTGTGAAGAATCTCATCACTATATTCCCTCAGCTGAAAGTCATTTACAACAATAGTTTGCTGAAGATTAAGTTTGTTTTAACCAAGACATAAGGTTTTTTTAGGTGTGATTTTATGAATGATCTATTCTGTCAACATTTGATGAATTAGAAAAATATTAATATTTTTAAATGTTAACAATTATTTTCTTAATGACATATTGTGCTAATGAAATCCTTGTAAATAAATGTCCAATGAATGTATTCTTGCATTCGATTTTTTGAATAAAAACCATATCCACCACCTGGTACTTCCAGTAATCGTCATTGACACACAATGTGCAGATATAACACAATCAAATGTTAATTCTGGTTAAAGAAATATAACACAAAATGTGCAGAAATAGCAAATGAGTGTGTTCATCTTGGTTACACATTTATGACACACAATGTGTAAAATGTGCACATTGTGTGTTCGGGGCATGTAACACATTTTGTGTGTAAACATGATTTACACATAAATAAACACAACACGTGTTGTCCCTGAGCACACTCTGTAGGTGTGTTGAAATTCAACACATGTTGTGTCATTTTTTACACATCCCTTCTAAGAGTGTACAACAGACTAGCTAGCAATTTTCGACAGATACAGCCCACTCAAAAATATATTGTGTTATATAAAATTAATTTTTATATATATATATATATGCAATTTTCGACAGATACAGCCCACTCAAAATTATATTGTTTTATATAAAATTAATTTATATATATATATATATATATATATATGCAATTTTTGACAGATACAGCCCACTCAAAAATATATTGTTTTATATAAAATTAATTTATATATATATATATATATATATATATATATATATATATATATATATATATATTAGCTGTACACTTTACGAATATAATAGTTTTTTATGGACAACTTTACCATTCAATCTCGTCCAACTGATTTTGCTGCCGTCACTCCTCGGCTCTTGGTAGTTCAGGCATTTATCAAACCTGGCAACTCCGGGTTTCCTGGCAGCTGTCAATCAAAGTCCAGTGGCTCCGCCCCAAAGTGCCAGAAACGTTTCACGCGCGCGTACACAGACTCCGCGAGGCTGATACTCCCGCGAGCGAGCAAGAAGGCTGTCTCGCCGCTCGCGGGGGTTTAATCTGCGCGCGAGGGTCATTTTATGCGCATGTAAAAGCACATTTTCCGCTCGTGAGTATTTTCCGCTCGTGAGTAGCTTGTTTTACGCGCTAGAATATTGACCCAAATCTGACTCCATACCAGGCTCCTCCAACAGAGCAACACAATAACACAGATACAATAGTTAGAATAGTGCGAGGAGAAAGGGTCTGCAGAATCAGAACATCCCCAAACCCATTGAATATATTTTATTTGTATTTCTTTACAAATTTCTTTTTTTTTTTTAAATGTTTTTAAAAAGCTATACCTAAGAGGACAACATTATTATGAATAAACAATAAAGTATTTTTTATGTGTAAAATTGGCTCCAACATTGACTTTGATGCATTTTTTACATTTATTATTTATTCTTCAAAGTGTGTAACTCGCCAATGATTAGCAAGAATACTTTGAATTTGAGCATTTTGTTGTTGTTGTGAAAAACACCAAGAAACTCAAGTCTCAATCTGGTGGAAAACAGCCAAAATTAGGGGAATTTTCATTCAGGCTCGAAGGAGAATAGAGAATATAATTTCAAAGCAGGTTTCACTGGATCCAAAGATCTGTTATATGAATATAGAGAGTCCTCAGCTCGCTCTAAGCCAAAACCTGGATGGCATTGTTTTGGGAAAAGTCACTCATCACTCATTGGCTGCCACGGATGCTGTAAGGCCTCCCATTGGACGAGATATCCTATATATTAAGAGCTAGACAGCCTGTGTTTGAGACCCTATGGAGACCCTTTATTGATCATGGGAAGGATCTGAATTGATCTGATGGTCAAGACGATGAATAGGTGCAGTTCCTGAGACGTTGTAACTGTGTATTTTCTTTCTATGCATAATGTTTCCATCTGATTGCCTCGTGTTACACGGATACAGACGGAGCAGAGAGTATATCCCTTTCCAGCACTTCAGAAATCTCCTCTGCAGCCACTTAAATAACAGCTTCATGGCTTCAAGTGAGACATGCGTGATTACCCAAAGCCTCGTGGACTTCCCTTATCTTTCATTACCTCACAATGAAGCTAATGGAAACACATCAGAGCTCAATTCATAGTTTTTTATTCAAAATACTTTGGGGACACTTCCTGTGTTCATGTCCATTAAATTGAAAACAGTGAAACACAAACAAAGGTCAGACACACTGAACGTAAAAACCTCTCCTGAGCTAAAGACAACACAAACAGCGTCAAGCATTTATTTAAGAAACAGAGATTATTTCATCTCAACGTTTGGAGAAATCGTGGAAATAAATACTGTTTGTTTTTCTGAATTAACGGGAAACATCGGCAGGGCTGCACGAAACACCGCTGTAGTACTGCGTGATAAATACTTAAAGAAAGACTCATATTTATACTCTGGGACTTTTAGAGTTGAAAATCGACTGTATTTAATCAGGGTCAAATGTTCAATAAAACAAATAAAGCAGAATTGCAAAACTGATGGGGGATTATTAATCACAAGACTTCTTATTTATAAATGAACGAAGGCACATATTCAGCCTCAGTTGAAGGGTACGTTTCATGCAAAGAAGCTTTACATTCAACCCCTTGTTTTGGTAGATATTGGGAGACACTTGAGTCTCAATACAACACAGACATGCTCTGATCTGTGACCACTAGATCCTGATGATTCAGAGACTTAAAAAGATGCACCTGCAACGATCAGGGCTGAAACCCTGGCAGAAGTGACGAGGTGGGACTTCTAGGAAATCAGGAAAAGCTTCTTTTGGGATTTTTCAGTCATTCAGAAAAACAGAGCAGAATTCATTCCCATTGAGATAAAAGATAAATCTAGTTTAATCAGAAAAAACCCACTTTTTATTTCCTCAAGTGTTTGCATTCTCTGGCCGGCACACGCTGCCATCACACAGTAAAACATTAGCTTTTACCTCCAAAAGAAAGCGCTCCCGATCACCGAGTACCGTCAGATTCTCCCTAAACAAAGAGTTTGTTTACATCCTTTGAAGCTCCATCACTTCGTCTTTAGTCCTCTCCACTTCCTGTCATTTCTCTGGAGACCACGATCCGTGTCCTCCTCTCTCCGGACGTTAGCTCGCGCAGAGCGGCTCTCCTCTCATCGTTTGTCCTGAAAGGCAATACTTAAATCGTCTCTTTATTCTCCACAAAGCGTCGCCTCACTCCGGGATCTTCAGAGGTTTCATGTCGTCGTCTTCCTCGTCGTCCGTGTCGAAGAACTCCTCCTCAAAGAAGGACCCTCCGAAGCCGTACTCCTGCGCGTGCACCGACACCTCGTTGGACACCAGGTGAGGAGAGCCCTCCACGAAGTCTGCAAACCTGAGGAGGAAAAACACATCAACAACGATATGGCACGATATTATATTACATTCATATACAGTTTGCAGCCCTAGCTAAAGCAAGGCAAGTTTATTTATAGAGCCTTTCAACACAAGGCAATTCAAAGTGCTTTACAAACATGAAAGACTTTAAAGGTCCCACGTCATGGCCATTTCTACTGATCATAGTTCCATTGTTGAGGTCTACTAGAATAGATTCAAATTGTTTCTCAAACAGCATCTCTGTATATTATGTGTGTTCACTCTCTGTCCTACACGGCTTGTCGGAAACAAAAACAACCTTTTTATTAATCATGCAAGTCAGGTTAATCAATAAAGCATTCATGATTTAATTATCAAGCAATTTGTAAACAGTGGATCGTTTTCATTGACATATGAACCCTTTGACCTTAATGATGATAACAAAAATAATTACAAATAAATAAAGTCATATTTTCACAAAACGTAAACTGCGACTACGTGAGAACCGTACTCGCTATCAAAAAATATCCAATTAGTCTAATAAAGTCCATAGTCTCGAGAATCCTTTAAACTTGTAGTTTTTTTTCTACGTTAAAATATGCGGAATCTGTATTGGGTCAAAGTGCGGTGTTTTTGAGCTCTGTTCAAATGGATTTCCCATTCATTCCTATCGGGCAAATGATCGCAGTTTTCTGTGATTTGCGTGAGAACGGCAAAGCGAATCTCTAATAAAAGTCATAGCAACACGATCCTGGTCACTCCGCACGTTTTGATATATTATTTGTGTGTTTCGTGTCAACGCTACCGGGTGAGTAGCATGACAACATTTGTGGCGGAAGAAGGAGAATAAAATGAGATAAGTATGTTGAATACTAGACTGTGTGTGGCTCCGCCAGTCACACAGAATAAATAAAAGTATCACATCACCCCAGTAAAAACTGGATTATCCCTTGTGGGTAAAAAAAGTATATGGTCTTTCTTGTTTTCTTAATAACTACAAGAGGACCCGGGTTTTAAGCATGACGCTCTGTTGATTTAACAGGATTAGCAGAGGCGCTTTTAAATAATCTGCACTGAGAAAAAGAGGGAACTACGGGCACCTTTTGGGGGACTGCAGGCGGGCCACGGTCCTCCAGGATCTGAACTCGGGGCTGCTGAAGTTCTTCCTCAGATCCTCCAGAGCTTTACGAGTCTCTTCCTCCGCCTCCCGCTGGAACTCCTCCTCCGTCAGCAGGCGGCGAGGCTCCGTCTTCCAGCGAACTGCAGCTCTGAGCCGCCTGCAGGAAAGAAATTACATTTTATTTATATAACCCAATATCACAAATAACACTTGCTCAGGGGCTTCACAACGCAGAACCACTCACCAAAATAACAGAATTAAAAAGGGGAACATGTCCATTAATAATAATAATAATAATAAAACAAGTGAACAAAGCAAATTGAATCGTGGATGTAGAGCTCAAACGGCAGAAATAAGCAGACATCATGCATGACTTAAAATAACAAATACGTTTGAAATAAAGAAGATTAGAAATAACCAGCAACCTCTCCACTACGGGAAGGTGAGGTGCTGGTTCTTCGTGTGCCCTGATGAACCTGGGGGCTGTGTTGTCTGGAATCTTGTGTTCCTGGTAGGGTCTCCCATGGCAAATTGGTCTCAGGCAAGGGGCCTGACTAAGATTGGATCAAAGACCTCATGAAAGAAGACACAAGAAGTGAGGATACCCGGCCCGGAGGAAGCCGTCCCGCGGGCCCACCACCTATGGGAAACAGCGATGGAGTCGGGTGAACTGCCAGAAGGGTGGCAGTGAAAGCAGAGGGTCTCGACGGACCAGACCCGGGCGACAGAAGCTGGCTTTGGGGACGTGGAACGTCACCTTTCTGGGGGGGAAGGAGCCGTAGCTTGTGCGGGAGGTGGAGCGTTACCAGTTGGATCTGGTTGGGCACAGCGTCCGCTCTGGAACCTTAATTCTGGATAGGGGTTGGACTCTATTCTTCTCCGGAGTTGCTCAAGGTGTGAGGCGCCGGGCGGGGATACTCACAAGTCCCCGGTTGGGTGCTTCTTTGTTGAAGTATACCCCAGTGGACGAGAGGGTTGCCTCCCTACGCCTGCGGGTTATGGGGGGGGGGAAACTCTGACTGTTGTGTGTGCTTATGCACCAAACAGGAGTTCAGAGTATACAGCCTTCTTGGAGACCCTGGAAAGAGTCCTGTATGGGGCTCCTGAATGGGACTCTTTAATCTTGCTGGGAGACTTCAACGCACATGTGGGCAATGATGGAGACACTTGGAGGGGCGTGATTGGGAGGAACGGCCCCCCTGATCGGAACCGGAGTGGTGGTTTGTTACTGGACTTCTGTGCTAGTCATGGATTGGCCATAACAAACACCATGTTCGAACATAAGGATGCTCATAATTGTACGTGGTACCAGAGCACCTTAGGCAGAAGGTCCATGATCGATTTCGTTATCATATCATCGGACCTGAGGTCATATGTTTTGGACACTCGGGTAAAGAGAGGGGCGGAGTTGTCAACTGATCACCATCTGGTGGTGAGTTGGGTCGAGTGGCGGGGGAAGCCTCTTGACAGACCCGGTAAGCTCAAACGTGTAGTACGGGTGAACTGGGAACGTCTGGAGGAGGCCCAAGTTCAGGAGGCCTTCAACTCACACCTCCGGCTGAGCTTTTCGGGCATCCCTGTTGTTTAGAGTTTTGAGAGGTCCTGATAATTTATTCCGGTAAATTACTCTGACCTCCTAATTGACCTTTCCGAAGATTATTGAGTCTATGTAAGTTTGCTGCTTGGCTCAGATCCACCAACGTCAGCAAGATCTCACCTCTTCCTAACCCCCCCGAATAACCAGGTTCAATTAACTGCTGTTTCAATTCAGACAACTCTTTTTTAATCTGTTTAAGCGATCCCGAAGGATTTTGATATCAGTAAAATGGAGTGTGCTCCTACCTAAGTGTGTGTGGCAGGGTGCAATCTTACCTTTGACGCAGGAGAGGAGGGCACAGGTGTCTTTTAAAGGATCCCAATCCAACAGGTGGGATTCAGTTTATTTGAAGAAAAATAGGTCCAAACTAATACAGGGTTTTTACCTTCTCTCTCACAACATTATAATCATACCAACAAAAAAACCGTGCTGTGATCATGTTCAAATGAAACTTTAATTCACAGTCTTACATTTATTACCAAAATGTTTTAATTCCAACTGCCCATTTCAGTTGTGACATTTTAAAATTCTCCCGATAGAATTTAGAGGTATTTCCTCGTAAAAAGACCGGTGACAATAAAAAGCGCATTCAACTTTTTCATTTCACCAACTCAATTCTCATCAGTTTCATACCGTTTTTTCCGACACAGACGGCGGATTAACACTCAAAAACCCATACCTGTCCGCAAAATTCGGGGGACCAGATTTCCCCACAGGTCGCGGTATTTATAAAGGTTCATACACACATCTCTCATCAAATCATTCCACTCAGCCAACAACCAATAAATTCGAGAGATATTTACCCCGTCTAGAAGGACCTTACCGAGAGCTATTAACCCAGCTCTGAAGCACACAGCCTACCCGGAGAGAGTCTACCAGGGGTCTCCCCCCCTCTCTCGCGCTCTCTCAAAAAACCAGTCTCTTTATGCTAAAAAAAACTGGATCCTAAACCCAAAAAAACAAACTCCTCCTCTATACCTAATTTGTGAAGAACTGCGCATGTCCTATAATGTACAAGGCTGAACATGCCTCAACATGTTCCACAGCTGTTATGGGATAAGACACCCTTTCATATGAGGTAAAAAGGACATGAACTCTCTTTGGCCTCTAATGTTTCTCCCCTTAGTGTGAAGCCCCCCCTCTCTCTGGACTGCTGCCAGAGGAGAGGAAGAAAACTCAACCTAAACAACCCACTTTGTTTTGTTTATACTGTAACTATAGAAAACCTAAAATATGAAGCATTTTCATTGTGGGTTATACAAGAATATAATTGATTATATTTGATTATAACTAACTTTCGTTTTTAAGTATTAAACATACTATGAAAACTCACAACACCCTCTTTTCAAAACGTAAAGTTATCAAAATAGCAACATAAAAAATTGTAAGCATAGATACATATTCAAAAACCGTCAAGAAGCATTCTCATTATGGGTTTATACAAGAATATGATTGATCATGTATGATTTATAATTAACTTTCGTTTTTTAAGTATTCACTTCATACCATGATCTCAATTAACTTTCGTTTTAAGTATTCACTTCATATGAAGATCTCAACACCCTCTTTTCAAACGCAAAGTTATCAAATATCAACAGATAAAATCGTAAAAACATACATATTACATCCGTAAAACTCCAAGCATCAATATCATGAAAAGTTCTTCAGTATGTGTAATCAGGACGACCCTTTGATGAACCTGGTGTGAAAAAACACCGAAAACATAGTACCGTACAGGAATGTCCTTGGGCGAGGGGCCCATCTGTTGTAGACTCCTAAATCCATGTTGCTATCTGATGTATATCCTTGACCCTGACCATGGAGGGGTTGCAGTTTTTCGCTGGACGACATCTCCAAACGAAAAACCAGATAACTCGGTCGACAGTTGTTATGGATTTTTTAGACCTCGTAAATAATCGCTCATGACTTTGTGACAAGGTCAATGAGTCCCCACACAATGATAGCACAAACGAGGAACCAGAGGCATATGAAACAGCTTAGCTGGCACTCGCTCATGACATCCTGTGTGTGCAGTGTGGTGCTCAGGTGTATGTGGTGCCAGTGTGGTGCTGGTGGTACTTGTTGTCGTCTTTCGTTGGTGACTAGGACACATCACTTGTTGTCGTCTGTTTCTACCGTCTCTCCTGGCCTGTGACTACGACCTTGCAGTGGCTGGCGTGGACCTACGTGGCTCTCTCGGTGACCTTGACCGCTGTCTGGGTGATGAGAAGCACCTGGTAGGGACCTTGCCAACGGTTGGATTTCCAGCTCTTTCTCCGGAAGTCCTTGACCAGCACGAAGTCACCGGGTTGGAGATGGTGAAGTGGACCAGTGGCAGGGGGTAGGTAGGGTTGCTGCTACCTGGCGTCTGATATCTGACCATGCAGTTATCAGGTAGTCGTCATCCTTTCCTGGGAAATCCACTGCGATCTGAGTGGCTCAGCGGGTAGAGATGCAGCCTGTCCCACAGAGCTGGAAGAATCGTCCTCCTTCTCTGGCGGGGTCATAGGTGACTCAGCCGCTGATCCATTAATAATTGTTTCAATTGAAACAATTTCCCCCAGGAATCCTTCCAAGGGGTCTGGTACTCCATGTTCCTCTGGAATGTCTATTGACAGCAAGGACATCTTTTTGGCTTGGGCACCCGGGGAGACCTCTGAATCAGATCACTTTTTTCTCTTACGAGTCTCCTCCTTTTCACCGCTTGCCCCTTCCGGTCCTTCTGCACAGGTTTCCTGGGTCCAGTAGCCTACTTGGCTTCACTTGAGGCACTGTGACTGAAGTTTCCCCGCTAGGCAGGTTCAAATCCTCTTGGTAGATTGCTGAGGTATTAATCTCAAAAATATAGCTAAAATCAAGTTTAAATCATTTCTCTGATCCATAAAAAGTTGTTTCAGTTAAAATAAAAACTTCCCCAAGGGTTTTCTCAAGAGGGTCGTGTATTCCATATTGCTCTGTAATTTCTATACACAGCAAGGTGATTGTTTCTCCTCTTACTCAGTTGGCCTCTAACGGCAGAAAGCACTGCCGTTACTCTTATCAGTTTAACGACCTGACAGCCCTACACCTTCATGCTGTGTGAGAACCAGCAAAAAAGAAGGAGAGATGTATTCAAAAAATCAAATTTAAATGAATACTCTTTTTAGGGTGTAAGCGTATATCAATTAAAAATAACTGAAAAGAAAACTAATAGTGTAAAGTTAAAAAACAATGAGAAAAATAATATAAAGGTTATTTTCCATTTCCTCTTTGATACTGAGGTATTCTCCATCCAAGCTCTAATGATCCATATGCTAATAGACAGAGTTTCGTCTTGCCATCTTTCTGCATAATTCACTATAGATTCTAACAGTTCTACTGCTAAATCCTTTGCATTGGAGCTATTGCTTGTTACTCAGATTTAAATTCCCTCTTTTGCTCTATCGAATATCCCTTGGTACAGAATTTACCAAGACAATTCTAACTTATTGTGGGAAGATCCCACAAAAAGCCATCCTCTCCTGTGGAAGAAAAACACATTAACTGCCACGTGTGTGTGCAAAACATGTCATGTGATGTGAGACTGATAGCATCAACAGTGGATGGGTAGGCCGCAGTCATATTCCTATCTGGATTCTAAACTCAGTTGGCTCGGGTGAACCGGTCCTCTCTTCTGGAGTGAAACTACTTTCCCAGAAAATTGACTTCACTGTATCCAAACCTTCTGATTTAGTTTTTAAGCTAACCCTTCTCTGGACTTTGCCCCTTTCTGGTCACCCATACACGATTTCTGAACTTAAACGGAAAAGGTGTGATAGTTAGATATGACCTGACCTTGCCCTAGGTAGCTTTTCCATACATATAGGAATATATTCAGCTTTGTCAAATTGATTGGAATGTCCCAATTTGTTTTACAGTTTTTTTATACTCCACTCTTTGGCTGCTCTAACGCCTGATACTTCTATGGTAAAGACCAGATAGGTGTGATTTCTTTATCCTGCAAGGGTGACAAAAACGTTCTCATTTTTAAAGTGAGTCGCATTACCCATTCCTATTTTCTCAGTTTTTAGGAAAAATACTTATATGTTCCGCCATTTTAGCAGACACTGTGTTCCAGTTGCTCTGGTCAGAGGATAGACATGTTTATGACTCCCTCCATTTATCAAAGTTCACAAGGAAATACTTATTCCCACTGGGAGTGCGGGTCAGAAAAGGACCTGCTTATGTCAGCACTAAAAATGGGTAGTGGTCCTTCCTCTATTATTTTAAGATGCTCAGGATGAACTTTCTTAAACCCATCCACCTCTACACATTGAAGACATGTTGACCATGTGTGTTGTAGGTGCAATCGCAGTTTGGGTAAGAGGATTTTATTGTGGAGACAATATTTCCTCATCTGAAATAGGCCCACATGGCCTAAACTGCTGTGTAATTCACGCACAACCTAAGGAGCTTCTTCAGGTGGTACGTGAATGCTTCCACCCTTTTTCCATATTCTAGGGAATATGGCAGTCCGGTGGTTAACTCGTCCCGTGCTTTAAGCAAGGTAAAACTTCTCTATTACCCTGATAGTTAAATTATATCTTATCTATATGGCTACGGACATGATTCCATTCTACATGCCTGCCTTTAACTCTGCAATAAGACCCTCAATAGATGGGCATGTGTCAGCGTTTCACCTTTCACATTTTTGAACTGCCTTTGTTTCCAATTATTAAGCTCTTCTTTACCCGCTTTTTAATAATAATCACTATCAGTAATAATACGGATGTGTGCTATTTTTCCTTTTTTAGCAAAGGAAGTCCCTCAACAAATGGCCTTTCCTCAGCAGGCTGTACCTGGTATTGCACCCTTTTTGCTTGCAAAGTACTTCACCTGAATTAGTTTTCTTTATAAAGGCCCAAGTGGCTGCTTGGTCACCTTTTCGCAAACTCCCC